CCCGCACCCGTCGGATTCGCCCGTGCCCACAGTCCGTCGTGGCCCACGTCAATCCCGCGCGTTCGGCACCAGCCCGTCGGGTCGCCCAACTCCTAGTCTACTCACCTCTTACTTCGCTCGTGTGCCGACCCTTGCTGATCGCGCAACCCCGATCTTCCAACAACGGGTTAAGAGAGCTGACTAATCGTGCATCCGAAATTTATAACGTGCATGCATGCGCGAAGAACACGGAATTACCAGGACTTAGAGTGAAGATTAGAGAGGGAGCACCTGCGTTCTGCATGATCGGCCGCGGCGTGGGGGACGTACCCCTTCTCCACGCATCGATCCGAGCATGCAGGCTGCGGGTTACAAAATTTCAGCAAAGAAAGAAAGGGAGGGCGGGAGAGACGAAGTGCAAGAAGAGAGATACAGTTACAATGGCGCCCGCCCAAAATTACAGTTACGCATACGATTAAGGGCGCCTATTGCATGAAGAAGCGCGTGGACAAAAAGTGCCGCGCGGCAGGAAAAATCCTAATTACGGAATTCCTAAATTCCTATCTAATGCGAAAAAGCAAAAGCACAAATTTCAGAAGGAAAGTCCAAAATTCCGAAAGCCATCGGGGGGGCCTCCACAAAATTCGAAAAAAAAAAGATTCAAAAGAAAATTCAAAAAGATCGAAGCAATTTCCCGCGCGATGTCCGCGCCCAAAAGATCGAAAACCGAACCAAAAGAAACGACGTCAACATTTATTAATTGCGCGCGCGGTGGTGCGCCAGACATCCATCCAACCAACCATTCTACCGCCCGTCCCAGCACACCCAGCCCGAAGAAGCGACGAAAAAGATGAAGAAGCAAGGGTACTGATGCAATTTTCCACCGATCCCGATTTCTCGTAATTGGCCCAATCTTCCCAGCTTAGGACCCCTCGTTGAGCCGCGCAGAAACCCGCGCAGAAACCCGCGCGTTACAGAAAGTGGTTTGTCACAAGTGGGCGAGCGCATTTTGACACCGCCATCTTTGGTGATTTTTAATTTTTGTTTGGCTTAGCAAGATGACTTCAAAATTATAGGCATGTACCTCACATTGTAGAGAACTCACAAAAACAAAATCAGAAAAAAAAACTTGATTTTAGGCCCCGAAATAACTTTTGGGTGGGGCCGAATGCCGTCGGGTTCGAACCCTGAACGGACCCAGAACACCCGTACGTACAGAGGTCCCCCCCAGGGACCCCCCAGGGACCTCCGTACGTACAGGCTGGTGACCCGGTAAATGTTGTTTTTGTGATGGCAGGTTGGTGGACGATCCTTTTGACAACATCTTGGTAGCTTGGCCTTGGTTCTTTCTCGCACTTGTTACCCCTCATAGTACGAAGAACTCGTTAAGACTCCAAGGGTTGTTGGCGATCGATTTATAATTTTAGAGTCCCACAAGGCTGTTGTATTCCGAGATCTCTGGCTGTTTGACAGTGGAACGGCGCTGGACGATGCTGGGGTGTTACCCTATGTAGGCAGGGGAGTGAGGCCTCATAGATCTGGGTGTGCTTTGGGGAGCGCATCTCAAAGGATAGTCGGGGGTTGCCGATAGGAGGAGGCTGGAGCAAGTCGTGCTGCTCTTTAACGTAACAGGATGAGGGTGTGAGGCCTAGATGACCCTGGCAGAGAATAGGGCTGTCTTGAAGCGCTGTGTTTTCGTCCTGCTGGATAACCCTCAGTTTTTTTGGGACTTAAAGAGGATAGCTGTGGATTTCAGGAGATGTCTTGACATCTGGATAATGTTAGACTCTGTTGTTTCCTTGAAATCAGTCATGTAATTTCTAGTGATGGTCCGTGATCATACTCTCAGCCGAAGCCGGGTAAGGGCCCCAACATTTCCAATTGTTCTATGTATACTTTTCATATGGGGCTCTGGGCCCGGTGCTCAGCACGTGCTGCTCCCCACGAATAGATTGGAGGACTTCTCGTTAAACCACTAGTACCTCCGCCGGTTGGGAAAAAAGGGAGGCCTCGGGTGGGCCTCCGATCTCTTAGGAGGCCAAAACGAAACGACGGCCGCCGATGAGATTTACCAACGGCAGCCCTCGTCGGGACGACAGCTGTTGACCCAGCCCCTGTCTTTGTAGCTGGGTTAGGCCGACGCCCAGTCCAGACGGACCGGGGGGGGTCCGTCCTGCAAAACCAAACGAACGAAAAAACATCCGAGGATTTTTTATATATATTTTTTGAAGACGGGGTTGGATTGCGCTCACTAAGTGGAGCCCAAATCCGCAGAGAAACTTGTGAAAGGCATATGTGTTGGGAGGGGGGGAGGTTGAGGGGGATGGTTGGCAAGGGGGTAAAAGGGTGTGTTCACTGCGCTGCAGCAGCCAGTCCGTCGAGGGAGGGGGGCAGAGGAGGAGGAGGAGGAGGAGGAGAGAAGGACAACGGGGGAGGAGGAGGAGGAGGAGGAGGAGAGAAGAACACAGGGTGAGGAGGAGGAGGAGGAGAGAAGAACACAGGGGGAGGAGGAGGAGGAGGAGAGAAGAATAAAGGGGGAGGAGGAGGAGGCTGTCTCTTATACACATCTAGATGTGTATAAGAGACAGGAGATGCTCGGAGTCTCACTTAGGATTACTCGTTTGGGGCCTATCTGTTCCATATAGGTGACAGGTCCTGATACGAACCCCATGTTTTCAAATTT